TTTTGCCTCTTAGTCTTTGCACCACGTTTTGCCTCGCTAATCGCTCTTGTCACTCTTTGTTGGATGCGTTTTTGTCAGAGTACAATGTGTGCAATATAAGCAGATCATGTTAACGAACGACATTAAGGATGGCGGGGGCTGTAGGACGGTACCAGCCAATGGGGAAGCAGCAGCACGGACGGCTACCTCTAGGCCAGCAGAACATCCATCAAGAGACGAGGCAGAACAAAGCGAAGGTGTCGAGGAGAAAGAGCAAGGGAAGCAGTCGATATGGAAAAGAGCTTACACAACCTTAACATGGACCCCACCAAATTGTCGTTGGGACCCGGATAAGCCACCGCAATTTTCTATGAGCAGTACGTCCATATTCATATGATTATCGTAGCCTCTGGAGCGCTTATGAACTTGAGCGGGGAGAAAGTCCTAGAGTGTACTTCTAGTCCCCCTAGTTTTCCCCTTTGACCTCGTCCCTGAGTGTATCAGCTAGCTAATCACCCACATCTTCCAGTGAACGTCCTGTTTGCCTTTGCCGCCGGCTTTACAGTAGCAAATCTTTACTACAATCACCCCATCCTCAACCTACTAGCCATAGATTTCGGTGTACGATATGAACAGGTTGCGCAGATTCCTACTGTAATGCAAGCTGGATATGCAGCTGGGCTGTTGTTTTTATGTCCTCTGGGAGACTTGTTGCCCAGACGGCCATTTGTATGCGGTTTAGTAGGGTTTACTGCGACCTTATGGTATGTTGTTTTTGAACTATGACGTGCACTAGAAGAAGACTACTGACGATGGATAGGCTCGGACTATGTCTAACCTCCGACCTTGGGACATTCACGGCAATATCCTTCATCGTAGCGGTAACAACTGTTACACCGCAGCTCATGCTCCCATTGGTCGGTGACCTAGCTCCTCCGTCACGCCGCGCAGCAGCACTCTCCATCGTCGTCTCTGGCCTCATGCTTGGTGTGCTTGTCGCCCGCGTCCTCTCGGGAACAATTTCGAATTTTGTCACCTGGCGCGCAGTATATTGGATGGCGTTTGCCATTCAATATATCATCTTCGTCCTCCTCTGGCTATTCATGCCCGACTATCCTGCAACCAACCCGGGCATGAACTATTTCAGAATACTGCTCGATATCGTTAAGATGCTTTTCCGTCATCCTGTTCTTGTTCAGGCTTGTCTGGCCGGTCTCTTCTGCTCAGCGCCTTTTACATCTTTCTGGACAACACTGACATTTCTCCTCGCGGATGACCCATACAACTATTCTTCCCTCACAATCGGACTGTTTGGGCTTATAGGCATAGCAGGCATGCTTATCTCTCCCATATATGCGCGTACAGTCACCGACCGCTTCGTCCCGCATTTCTCCGTCCTTTTCGGTCTTGCATGCTCGCTTCTGGGAATATGTCTAGGCACTTACACGGGTACCTTTACCGTCGCAGGCCCCGTCCTGCAAGCCCTATTGATGGATTTCGGCAACCAAACTGCGCAGATTGCAAACCGTTCTAGTATCTATTCGGTGGAACCTAAGCGGCGGAACGGGGTGAATACCGCTTTCATGGTTGCTACATTTTGTGGTCAGCTTATTGGCACGGCGGCTGGAAACCATATTTATGCTGCTGCCGGGTGGGTAGGAAGTGGCAGCGCTAGTGTTGGATTCATCTCTGCGGCGATTCTTGTTATCGTTGCTAGGGGTCCCTGGGAGGAGAAATGGGTTGGGTGGAGAGGCGGCTGGAGCATGATCAAGAAAGACAAGGATTCTGCTGATGGGAAGACAGCAGACAAAGCGATGCATGGACCAAATGTACCAAGAGATGAAGAAGTTGGGGTTGGTGCTAACGAAAAGGTGTTACAGGAGGTCGCTGCGGAACAGGGGCATGAGAGTCCGTTGAGAAGTGAAAATGGTAGCGAAGAGAATAGTAAAGAGGATGGGATTGAAGAGAAGAAAGTATGATGATTGTGGATAGAGTTCAGCTAGAATTGAAAGTAATAGTTTATTCTGTACTGGGTAGCCACAATACAGAAAGTGTTCAGGGTTACTGTCGTACCGGTACTTTGCATGTCATGTATTATCCTCGATGAGGAACGCAAAGTAAGCCTGTGCCAATTTGTGGCCCCTCACCCCACACTCTCTACGTCAATTCAATTTATCAAAGTACACGCTGGATATTAAAAATGGTTCCCTTTAGACCGTACGTGTCCTCGAATTACGCAGGCTTTGGTGCATTCCCCGCATTCATGAAGGCACTGATATGCTCATCGGATGGCATCTTTTCCAAGGGAGTAAGCCAGCTCTTGGCCTTGTCAAAGCTAGAGACCGCCTTGACAAGCTTGATGAAAAGCTGCGTATTCGTCTTGTCAACGCGACCCTTGAATTTGACGATGAGGTTCTGGATGTTCATGCCCTGGGGCGGCAACGATTCATAGATCTCCTTGGCAGATGGTAAAGGAGGTCGTGCTGGAGCTGCGGAGGGACTACCCGCGCGGCTGCCGTTGGCTGCTGGACTACCTGCACGACTAGCACCAGGAGTACCGCTAGGAGATCCGCCCATCATCATGCGGTTCTTGTCCTTCTTATCCTTCTTTCGCTTCTTGCCGGCGTCTGTCATCTCGCTGTCGCTACCAGAACCAGCGCCTTTGAGATTAGCAAGGGAAGATTTCCGAGATCCATCAGCTAGTTTGTCATGCTTCTTCTTATGCTTCTTGCGCGAAGACTCGTTACCACTGGCTTCTGACAAGTTGGGTGAACCTGGCCGCTTCTTGCTCTTGCTATCACCAGACTTGTGGTTTCCTGATGGAGTGTTGGAGCCTTTCGTCGACGTACCAGAGGGGACGTTGCCAGCCTCTGGAGCCTTGCCATTTTGCTCGGCTGCCTTCTTCTCTGCCTCCTCCTTTGCCTGTTGTCGCTCTGTTTCAGAGTCGGTATCCGATTCGCTTTCTGTGATGTACGGATTCTCTGGGTCGCTGTCAAGGTAGTCGTACTGCTTCTCGCGCTTCACCAGGGCTTTTCTAGTCGCCTTTTCCTGGATCCTCTTCTCCTCGGCTTCCTTCCGTTCTTGTTCTTCCTTTATGGCAATGGCCAGCTCATCTGGTCGATCCCATAGAGCGGCTTGCAGCTGGTCTCGCTTCAGCTTTTCAGCTGCCTCTTTGACGTCCTGCTCTTCACCTTCGAAGAGACCATTCAGACCCTCTTCGTCGTCGGCGAAGTCTTCCTCCAGATTGAAGTCAATATCGTCTGCGTCAGCTTCGCGCTTGACGAAGCCGATTGTGTCGTCATCGTTGCGTTCCCGCTTGATCCGGCCTTCGTCGTCTGCGCCACCACCCACACGGGTACGGACTCCACTCCACATCCTTGCATTGTTTTCTGCGTTGACGCGCTGCTTCTGACGCTCTTCAAGGTCGGCAAAGAACTTTGGTCCGCCGCCTCTTTCAACCTTGGCCAGGATCTTGTCCAAGTCGTCACCGCCGGTCTTGACCTTGCCCTTAACGTTGAAGCGATACCAGCGTTCCATGGGAGCCATTTGAATGGCTGTACTTGGATCTCCGGGGCGAGTAGTTGACAGCATGACGTGTGTCTCTGACAGCTCCGACTCGTAAGTGCCGACCCATGTCTGTTTGTTCTCGAAGTCCTCAAGATGCCACGGCAGCGTCTCCTCATAGCGCAATAGCTGGCGCTTCTTCGCTTCTGGAGTGTCGTCGGGGCGATACTTTTGCTCCGTCTTCTTGTGGAAGGCAGGGGGCTTCTTCATGCCGGTTGGCGCGATCTTGGCCTGGTTCTCTTCGCGGACCTTGCGACGCTCTTCCTTCTGCAGTTCGATGCGCTCGCGCTCCTTCATCTCTTCCATGTCCTCCTTGGTGTCCTCCTCTTCGTAGGTCGACCCCATGCCGCTTGGAGGCGCGCGCGGATCTCTGCGGTGGAGCTTGATCGGGGTCTTAAACTGATGCTCGTCGGTGATGTCGACGTGAGTTTTGCTATGCAGACGCATGACATGGTGTCGCAGCTCTTTCAGATCCTTGCGGCTCACGATGAGCGGGAAGACGCTGGCGCCTTGGTCGAGGAACTGCTGTCGCAACGCGTCTTTCGACTGGGTTCCATCGTTGGCGGGCCCTGCGACGGGCTTCTTGGCCTCGTTCATCTGCGACAACGACACCATGGGCCGGGTAATGTTCTGTAGCGGGCGACGGGGCTTGCGCAGGACATCGGCCTGTGGGCGCGGGCGACGGCGACGAACAGGCGGCTGCTGGCCATTGGCGGCGACGGGCGCGGCGGGCGCGCTGGCGGGCGGCGGGTTCCCGTTGGTGTTGCCGTTCATAGCGAAGGTGGTTGTGAGGATGAAGACAAGAATGAGGGACGGTGGGTGGCCGATAAAGACTGTTCGGAGACTCAGTCGCCTTTGTCCCAAGGAATCGTGCTCCACGGTCGAAGCGCAGTTGGAACGTCACAGCTCTGCGCTAACGCCTTAGTGTGCCAAGACCCATCACAGTGAAGCCGCCCCATCTCCGCCTCCAGGGAATGACACCATGGCTCGATTGCCATTGTCACCACCAGCCAAAATCCACATCGTGCTCGCTTCTTGCGCCACAAGTGAGCCGTCGCAGAAGCCGCACATCCCCAGCCACGCGTGCCATTGCGCAAAACTGCATTGTGCTTCTGTCTCAGTGCTGCCAAAGGCCTAACCACTTTGGCTAGGTGGGATATTCACGAGTGGTTGCCTGGCTTGGACGCTCATCGCAGATGCGCTAAAAGATCCACACGTTGGGGCTGTTCGATCGCTTGCTCCAAATAGTAACCGCGAAAACCACCGCGCGCCGCACCAAGCAAACTCAAAGAAAGAATCTCGAACCTGGGTCTGCAAAGTTACGTCCTGTGATTGCGAACTTAGCCTTGAGAGGCAATCTTCCATACTACCCATCTTTCACTGCTGGACTCCACAAGATCAGAGTCCCAAACCACGACTTTATTGCATCGCAAACGAGTCTGCACTGACCCGACACCATGGAGCAGGAGAACCCACCGCAACCCACTGGGCTGGAGAACCAGTTGCGCAATATGATTCTCGGCAACGTTAGCATAGCTGGTGGACAGTCTAGCCAAGATGTCCCCTCAGCATATCGTGGACGCGGGCGAGGCCAAGGGCGTGGACGTGGGCGTGGGCGTGGAGGTTTCCACGATACCGCCAATAACGTCAATAGCAATGGCCAGAACCACCCCACGCCAGGTCAAGCTCAGGGATGGCGTACAAACGCTACCGCCAACACGGCTCCAGCTCGAGGGGGTGGAAGAGGAGGCTATATCCCTAACCAGCGGTATCAACAACCTACGGGAAACGCCTTAAATCAGCAAGGTCTAAACTCGCCTCAGAACGGCTCACCAGTAGATCATCGGCAGTATTCCTCGCGGCCTTTCAGGCCTCCCTACCAACAGCAGAATCTGAATGCAACTGGTACGCCACATTCACAAACCCCTAGAATCCTCCAGCGACCCCATGACAACGTTGCACTGCCAGGTCAAGTTACAGTAGGCCCAACGTCATCATCACAGCGTCCTCGTCCGCAAGGTTCATATGCACCACGATCCATGAATCAGCCACGGGAGAACCCTATGGCTCAGATTGAGCATCTGGACTCAGTTGCGGCAGAAGAGATTCCGAAGGTAGAGATGTCCATGTCCGAGTTGGACGCCAAGGAAGATTTTCGAAAATACTTGGAAACGATCATGCAAAAGGCCTTTGCTCGAGACTACACTGGTGACATTGCGACCATTTCCTTGGTAGGCTTTGGAAGTTTAGCTTCAGGCTTTGGTATGCCCGGCTCAGACATGGATTTGGCTGTAGTACCAGAGTGGAAAGATCCAGCCAGAGCTAGTGATATCACGATCGACCGCGGTATTCCTCGTCTATTGGAACGAGCGGTCCTCGACGCCAAGCTCGGTGGCCGTCTGCTGACGAGGACAAGAGTGCCCATTTTGAAGATATGTCAGACACCGACCGAGACCCTATATAGAGCTCTCGCTGAGGAACGCCAGAAGTGGGACGAACTCCCAGAAGAGGAGAAGTATCCTTCAGACCTACCACAAGAACCTACTCAGCCACCAAAGCCGCTGGTGGATGCCGATGGATCGAAGGCTCCAGACCTGGCGGCGCAAGTAGACAGCTCCAACTTTGGTGACGACTTCCCTACCTTGGGGGCTGCGGCGACAACAAAGAAACGACAAAAAGCTCCCACAAACGCTGAGGTGCCCCAGGAAAACTCTTCTGTCCTAGCCACCAAGTCAGAGGATAAGATCAGCGACGGGACTGAAGATAAGACCAAGAGAGATCAGCATCATCGTCACGAGAAGCAGTGGACACGAGAGAAGGTTGTGGGTCCTCTCGACTTCCCAAAGACAGGTTGCGGAATTCAATGTGACATTAACTTCGAGAACCCGCTCGGCATCCACAACACCCATATGCTTCGATGCTACTCGTTAACTGACCCGCGTGTCCGACCCATAGTTCTCTTTGTCAAGTCTTGGGCCAAGCGACGTAAAGTCAACAGCGCATACTCCGGTACTCTCAACTCGTACGGATGGGTGCTCATGGTACTGCATTACCTGGTCAATATCGCGCAACCACCAGTATGTCCGAACCTTCAGCTCTCCGTCCCGCTCCCAAGCGACGCAGAAGCCCTGGAGCAGTTCTTCAAGCATACAACTATTGCAGGCTATGAGGTACGTTTCTGGCGCAATGAACCGGAAATTATGCAAGCCGCAGAAGCTGGTCGCCTTTCGCAAAATACACAGTCCATCGGTTCATTACTACGTGGATTCTTCCAGTACTATGCTTCTCTTTCTGGGTACGGCTATGGACCTAAACCTCCCCAGTTCTACTGGACTAACGAAGTCATCTCCCTTCGGACGCCTGGCGGTATCTTGTCGAAGCAGAGCAAGGGTTGGGTGAGCGCAACAACCAAGATTACAGCTGAGAAGAAGGTTACCAACCGGTACCTCTTCGCCATTGAAGATCCTTTCGAGACCGACCACAATGTTGCAAGGACAGTCACTCACCGTGGTATCGTCGCTATTAGAGACGAGTTTAGAAGAGCATGGAGGATACTCAAAGCCATCGGACAGGACACAGAGCCTGAAGGCGGAATCTTCGACGAGGTCGTGGAGCAACCGCCTATTCCGAAACCCGAAGAGGTCCAAAAGGGCAATATCGAGAATCTTGGTGTTGATGGGGAGACGAAAGGTGAAGGAGTCCATCAAACGATTGGAGTGTAAGAGGTCTGTTTCTCTTCCTGGCTCGGTCAGATTTGAATCCTACGGTACTGGGCAGATGTTAGACTATTGTATTAGTTGCAACACGTATGTGTATTATCGAAAGGTGTTCAACTGGATGTGGTGCACGGGCACTGATGATAACGAAGATGCATGGAATAACGACTTCACGAGATGGATACGCTAGGCAGTTCGAGTTTGCTTTCAGAAGTTTACACCTGCTTCACTGTATTACCATAGATGTAGAAATAATCATGATCAAATTCGCGATTTGGACAGCCTCCTTCTCAGAGTTGGAGCCATCCCTCCCACTCCTGCTCCATCTCAAAGAATGCGTCAAAGGCTGTGCTGACGGAGCTCCCCTGCATACTTTGAAAAGCTTCTGTCTGTGAACGGTCTTGATCTGCCGGTGGATCGAAGCTCTGGCCGTCTTCATAACTCATGTCTGCCAAGACTGACGAGGTGAAGCCAACGCTTGCTTCAGATGATTGTGCGTTATCTGCGCCGTTATTTTCCGACCTACTATGCAGTCTACCAAGAACAACATCCATAGTATTCAAAGCTGTCTGAGCTTCTTTCGAGAACACTTTCTGCGGCTCCCAGACACTTCTCGATCTCTCGAGCGCCTCTACACTCTTCATAGCGACCTTTCCACCGATCAGCCCCTTCTTGATGTCATCATCCAAGTTGAAGCACAACACAGTCGTGGCAAGCAAGAACTCGGATTGAACCAAAGAAAGAATCTTCCATCGATCAGTATATAACATACGCCCCGGCTGGCACTGCTCAAATAGCTCAGCCTGTAGTTGTAACATCTCCGTAGCCGCATTCACGCATGTCGTATGTGAAATGCTGTACTTGCTATTTGCCTTCGCAAGAATCATGAACTTGCGGTGAAGGGTGATCTGTGCATGATGATAAGACATCGCCATATAAATACGGCGGGTGATGAGCTCAGCACCGTCTAAGACAGACCGTTGCATGGATTTCAGCTCGAGTATAGGAGGCTTCTGTGCGTATGCAGTATTGAGCAATACATCCAAACGCATTGCTTCCTCGTAGTCTCGCTGCTTAGATGACGTAGTGAAATCGCAGATCATTCCGTAGACGGAGACAATTCTACTCTTGTAGACCAGGAATTGAGCAAGCGTGTGTTCATTTTGTGGTCTAGCGGGCGGCAATACGGTTGAAGTGTCGTCGAAGTCGTCGTCAAGAAGGTTACGAGGTTCAGCGGTATCGCATTGAGTCTCTTTGATGATGCGCGGAAGGCCGACCTGGGAAGCAGATGCAGTGTCGAATTGTGTGAGTACTAAATGTAGTTGTACGAAGTCAGTATAATTCCTACATGCAGTTTGTACAGAGAAACTTACTGTACCAAGTACGCCGGCGCATTTCTGCCTCGTAAACACTGATGTTTGGGAAATGCGAGCCGTCACGATGATAGCCCATCTTGAGCGCTACACGTATAATGACACCTGTCAACTGCCAGCATCCGTGTTGTGTGTCTTCGCCTTGAAGGTATTCGGTCTGCAGAAAGGCCAAAAGAGCTTCAATAGTATGCGGCGCTCCCTTCATGTAATTGCCTAGCCTCAGGCACTGTATCATCTTCTCTCGTGAGATTATGACTATGCTACGATATTCGGATGCCGTCGTCTCATCAAGTGAGCCTGCATCTCCATTGATGAAGAGGGTACAATACGCCACAGTGTACATCATGCCATATAGTATGGTCAGCCACATGGTCGATGTCGAAAGTGGGTCCTCCCAGAAAGCCTCATATTGTTTGAAGAAGACCCCGCGATGAACAACAAGGGAAACGGGCATATCGGCCCACTTGAAGTACTTCGATATCATGCTGTCGACAACGATACGAGGTGGAATCGTAGCAATGATATCCATCTTCGTGGTTGGATATGTCTGAAGAAGAAACAGATCGTTACCAGGAAGTACCGGGTCAGTATAGGAATCCCCTAAATCTTCGGGATGTTGCTGCACCATGCCCTTCAGATCACCGATTTCATCGAGGATGGCTTTCCAGTGATCACTCTCTACGTATGAGGACTCATGGTTCTCCAGATTCATACTCCCAACCCCGTATGTGAGAGGATCTGTATCACCGGCGACATCAGTAGCCATGGGAAACGCCACGCTGTCAGGCAATGGAGCATTGAGTTTGCTTTGTTGCTTATCAAGCAAAGACCGAACCAGTGATTCGAGTTGGTCGATTCGTTCCTGAAAAATCTTTCGGGTGGCAGTGTCCATTGGTGGGTCTCTTTGTGAAGCTCGAGGAACCTGAGACAGAGGAAACGTGCATATCGTTGCCTGCCCTAACCGGATGCAACTCCCACATGGCTTGTTGCGGTCACAACGGAGTCTGAGTGCGAGTTAGCAGCAATTGTTCAGTATAGAGAGATGAACGGTTTACTCGCTTTCGCTTCCGGCAAAAGTCGCAAGACAGCTGAACCTTCTCTCGGCCTCTCATCTTCTCCAGTAGCCGTGCGGAGGAAACGGGGGAACTCGTCATGTCCTCGAATTGCTTCTCCTTTGGTCAGGAGATGAGGACTGGAATGAGTCTTATTAGAATTGTGAGCATGCCCCTTGACAGCGCCCGCGGGCACATCAGCCACTCATAATGTGCACGGATCATATTTCCATCGCATAATGTACACTATATCGCTCATTCTTCCCGTTGGGGTATGTAAGCGTCAGCGTACCTGGTATGAGCCAGTAATCTTCTGTGGCTGGAAAGTGGGTCCAAACGGACGTCCGCTTGACGCTGATTGGCACATTGTATCTCATCCTTGAAAGCACACAGCAGGCAAGCATGAAAACTAACGTTGATATTTGTATAGAATAACCAAGGAAGTAATATTTAAACAAGCTCCAAGGAATCACATATTCCACTCTCTTACTTCTCGATATCTTGAGGACAAGTAACTACCACTTCAAAGACCATATCCTATACAATGCCTACCAATCTTGCAGCATGGATACCAGCACCTAAGCAACGAATGCAAGTCGCAGAAGCACCATTTCCTACACCTGGGCCAGACGAAATCATCATTAAGAACCGTGCAGTAGCAGTCAACCCTGTCGATTGGGTTTTGCAAGATCAGGGCACCAGTATGGCATTTGGTTGGATCAAATATCCTTTCGTCTTTGGATACGATGTCGCTGGCGAGGTGGTCCAGGTTGGGAACAAGATCGTGCGGTTTAAAGTAGGGGACCGCGTTCTAGGTCAGGCACAGAGCACGGACAAGACGATCAACAGCGCGGCGTATGGAGCATTCCAGCTGTATACCGTTCTCCTCGAAAGGAACTCATCGCCCATTCCGGATACCACATCATTCGAGTCTGCTTCAGTGATGCCATTGGCCTTCACCACTGCTGCTGCAGGGTTATTTGAGAAAGACCAGCTAGGCTTGCAATATCCTCAACTTGACCCGAAATCGACCGGAAAGACTGTCCTTGTGTGGGGAGGCTCGACTAGTGTGGGCTGCAACGCTATCCAACTCGCTGTAGCCGCTGGATACGAAGTCGTATCGACATCTTCTCCAAAGAACTTTGATCTCCTGAGATCGCTCGGAGCGACCGAAGTTTTCGATTATAATGACCCCTGTTCAGTTAATAAAATTGTTAAGTTCATGGAAGGAAGAGAATGCGCGGGGGCCCTATCAATCGGAGAGGATGCAGTTTTCCGCTGCCTGGATGCACTGAGCAGCTGCAAAAGCGGCAAACATATCGCGATGGCAACATATCCAATCCCGGCTCAACCGAAACGCTTAGTCGCGCTGCAGATTGTCTGGAGCTTCGCGACTTCGATGATCTCTATCGCTATCAAATCAAGGCTAAGGGATATCAAAACGAGCTTCATATACGGATCAGTAGCACACAGCCCTGTTGGTGAAGCCGTATATGCCGACTTCCTGCCTGAAGCCCTTGCAAGGGGCAAGTTCAGACCTGCACCGGAGCCCATGATCGTTGGAGAAGGACTAGAAGCTATCCAAAGAGCGTTAGATATACACAAGAAGGGAGTCTCGGCGAGAAAGGTCGTTGTAAGCCTGAGGTAATGCTGGGAGCTGACGTACTTATGATTTGCTGCTTTCTCTCGTACAATGACTGTACCCTCTGTACTGTTTCTGGATATGTTACTATGGTCAGAACATGATCGCAACTTACAAATCTTATCAAATCAATCTAGTTTTGCTTGACCAAAGTGCCGAATAGTTCCGATGATATAGACATAGAAGTTACGAGTTTTGGCGGAATTGTTCAACACCTAAGCCCGAGCAGGCACCCTACTTTAGTTCACCCTTGCGCACCCGCCCCACGCATCGTCCTACCTCCATAGCCTCCAGCTTTTAGCTAAGACGCGGCATGATCAAGTCTCTCCTGGCCTTCGTGAAGTGTTTGTCTTTTGTCTCCACCGTGCCTTCAAGATATCAAGAAGGTGCAGGAAGTAATCCGTATAGGCTACCCATGCACGCGCACTGTTACTTCGATAGTGGTACATGTTTATTGCCAGAAAGTACACACGCACTGCATAACTTACAACTTGATGTCAAAACTTGTCCCGCACCCACAACTGCTCGTCGCCCCCGGTATGCCCGTAATCTTGAACTGGCTACCTATCAACTCCATCGTATAATCCACCGTGCTTCCATTCAGCAACTCTAGGCTAGACTCGTCAATTACGATCTTCTCGCCCCTTTCCCCCTCAAATATAGTGTCTTCCTCGGCCGCTGGGTCTTTCGATAAGTCCGTCAGGTCCATAAGATACTGGAAACCGTGACATCCGCCGCTCTCGATGCTCACGCGCAATGCGAGGTTTGGGTTGTTGTCGCCTGTAGAGATCTTCTGGAGGCGATTCGATGCACGAGGTGCTATAGAGATCAACATTGGGTTACCGGAGTCATCGGTACGAGGGTTCTGGATTGGTTGCGCGGGCTTTGCGGTGGAGGCGTCGGATGATGTGGCAAGAGTCCGTCGTGGTATGTGTTGTCGTTTTGGGAATATGGAGATCTGTGCTGGAATATTTCTGAGCACCCTGCGTGGAGATGAAGGCGCAAGAAAGTCGAGGAAAGGCGACTGCGAAGTGGCGCCTGAGGACACTCTGCTGTACGCTCGCGTGGATTGGATCGCGGCAGTTGTAGAATGGGCGGATCCTTTTGCCATCGTCCTCCTCGCTATTCGCAGGCAAGATGCGCACATGGTTGAAGTGGACGCCATTGTTGCGATATCGAGGTTGTGGTGAGATGAAGGTTCATGAATCTGAGGTCATGGCTAAGAATGTCACGGCCGACGAGACCCAATCAGACGCGCCCACCGACTGAGAGTTCTAGATCGCTTAGTCATACGATGACCCCACCTTGTACCGCCACTATTAGTCGTACGAGCCACCAGGCCGTTCCAGTCTTACCCGCCAGAGCTATTTACTTATCGTGCCTGAGAGCTCCATGATAGCGCCATATCATCTCTGCATAAGCTTCTTTTTGTTTGATTCCTGGTAGTCTTTCGTACATCACCAGCGACGATGCCCAAACACTACAATGCATATCTCGAACTTCCACACTCGGAACTTTGCACAGAGGAGTTCGCAAGGAATGAAGACAGAAAGGATGGATTGAGCAAGTTGAGGAACGAATTTGTGATTCCAAGTAAAGGCGACTTGAGAAACAAGAAATTCGGATTTCAGCAAAACTCTTCGGGAGAGGCCGCCGCTACGCGCGAAGACGACAGCGAAGATTCCATATACTTCTGCGGCAACTCTCTAGGACTTCAACCTCGGAGAACAAAGGAATATGTTAACCGTTACCTGGATACTTGGGCATCCAAGGGTGTGTTTGGTCATTTCACGAATTACGAGGGAGGATTACCGCCATGGCTACACATCGACGATGCGATCAAAGACCAGACAGCAAAGGTAGTCGGCGCACTACCTACAGAAGTCGTCATAATGGAGACTTTGACTGCAAATTTGCATTTGCTCATGGCAAGTTTCTGTAAGTGTCCCAGTGAGAACTGCATGTGAGCATGTACTGACTTTGTACACCCACATTAAGACCGACCAACCAAGGACCGGTACAAGATCATCATTGAGGCGAAGGCATTTCCTAGTGATCATGTAGGTTTATGCGAAAATGCTCTCAGCGCTTAGATATTGACTTCTTCGTAGTATGCCGCTCTCTCCCAGATCGCCCACCACAACCTCGACCCATCTGCGCTCATAACCATCGATCCGCCCTCAGCGTCCTCGCCTTACCTTTCCAACGAGCACATACTCTCAGTCATATCCCAACATGCGCCAACGACTGCACTGGTCTTGTTACCTGGTATCCAGTTCTACTCGGGCCAGTTCTTCGATATAGAGCTCATAACGCGCCACTGCCGATCGCTGGGTATAACCGTAGGCTGGGACCTTGCCCATGCAGCTGGAAACGTACCACTGAAGCTACATGACTGGAATGTTGACTTCGCAGCATGGTGCAACTATAAATATATGAATGGTGGCCCTGGTGTTATTGGTGGACTGTTTGTACACGAGAGGCATGGAAGAGTGGAGCAAGTGCCTGCAGTTCGAAAAGATGGCACAAACGGCGCAGCGGGTAACAGCACAGAGCTTGCCTACCGACCGCGATTAAGCGGCTGGTGGGGAAGCGATAAAGACAGTCGCTTTCGCATGGAAAACAAGTTCGTGCCAATCACTGGGGCGGGCGGCTTTCAGCTTAGCAACCCTAGTGCATTAGACATGACATCTGTCATGGCTAGCTTAGACGTCTTTGCTTTGACGAACATGGACGCTTTACGGCAGCGGAGTCTCAGGTTGACTGCGTACCTCGAAGCGCGGCTACTAAAGTATGACGGAGGAGAGCCACCTTACAAGATTATTACACCTGCGAATCCGGCGGAGCGTGGTGCGCAGCTCAGTGTGCTTCTCAACCCAGGACTGCTGGACCAAGTTCAACACTATATCGAAGAACGTGGCGTGGTCGTCGATGAAAGAAAGCCTGATGTGCTTCGCGTGGCGCCTGCACCACTGTATAACTCCTTCCACGATATCCATCGCTTTATCACTGTCTTCCACGAAGCTTGTCGTATAGCCGTGAAGGGTGCTGGGCAGAAGGGCGCGCACAATGACAAAATCCCTGAAGGAATCGCGAATGTATGATTGTCCTGTGCGCTATCTCAGGCGGTACCTACTCGTTTTCGAGAGCGATGTAATTTCTAATACTAGTAACACATTATACCCCAGCAATAGCAACTTTCATCATGTCGTATTCAAAAGTTTGATTCAAGAAAGGGAACTCTATGTAGTAGACAAGGTCGCGATCGGGAGCAGGTAAAAGCCGCCACCCGTTTAGGTCGTCGTATGCGAACATGTATCCAAGCATCCTAAGCCCTAAGCCTTAAGCGCAAAAGAGAACAGACTGTCCATCTGCACCCATTGCCTTCCATTCCTCTCCAGCCATCGCTCCACCACGCCCTTGAGTGTACCAAATCTCTCTCTGTTGACTTCCGCCAGCACTTTCATCTTCTCTTTCCTCTCCATATCCTCTGATTTCACACCAGCATCCATCTTGCCTACACGGTCAACATCAAATAACGATTGATAGTACAACAGTTGGTTCCAAACATCGCGTTCCTTGATCTCGTAACTCATCTTGCCCAAGCAGTCGCGAGCGAGACCCTTCGGGCCAAGGCAACGGTGTCCGTAGACAGATATACTACGCGTTCGATTTGAACATTGTGGGTCGTCGCAAAGAACATGACCGGCGTAGTATGACGCGAGGACTTGACGGATAGAAGATTCTAGCTGGGCCACCACGCTGATGTTTTGTAGCAACTTGCCGCAGCCTTCAGCGGGACATTGTATTCCACTGTGGGAAATGGTCTGCAATGATGCCGTAGTTGGTGATGTCGAAGAAAGACCCTGGAATGGGAATACAGTTGTACACTCCCGGCAGCGCAGCCACAGTGGCGAGCAAGATTGGAAGCGTACGGAGTCTGGAATTTGCGACTCCAGAGGATGGATTTCTGTGTCTTGTTGCGCACCTCCAGAGACGGTGCTCACGCGATATTTGGAAGTGTCGAGACCGAGACAAGCTGCCAAGAGAGTGACGTTGGTTCCGCTGATGGGAGCACAGAGACGTTCTACTGGTGGTAGAATCTGTTTGTGGAGGTAGTAATCAATATCTGGTTTTAGTCCACTGTCGGCTTTCAGGACTTCATCAACCGGATAGGCGTTCTTTGCTGCGTTTTCGGCCGAACCAGACGATTCACCCGTAATGATGAAGCTCATAACGTCCTTGGCCTTGACGTGTTTGCCCTTTGCCTGAAGGCGAAGTGCGACCTGGACAGATGGCATCGAGTTACCATTGGGATACTCCTTGGGGTTCTTTCCGAGCTGTGTATAGATGGTGTACTTCCGAGCTGGTACGGTGTACTCGCGCATCTGCTTGCTCAGCTCACGGAGATGGTTGTGGATCTTCTCGACGACTACCTCAGGGTCTTCACCGCTAAGGAGGAAGTTAAGTAGTTCCCTACATCTTTGTTAGCGAATTGTACTAGATGTTCGATGCGGCAAGACTTACGTTGACGTCTCCTTCGACAGGGCACAGTATTCTCTGCGTCTCATGTCGAGACCCTTGACTTCAAGTTTCTCGATGTACTTGCCGTCAACAGAGACCATGTTGATGGCGGCGTACTTCTTCTTGGCATGCAATAAGATGCGACGGAAAACGTTGTCGATATCGATCTCCAAAAGTCTGTAGCTGTCGTTGATCTCCCTTTTGAACTCGTTACCCAATTTTAGCGCATCTTGAATGTTGTCGACATTTGTGTTGATCATGACGGAATCTGTATCACCATAAATGACGCGCAGCGCCTTCTCCTCGGCCATGTCCTTAGTCTTCCGAAGAATTTCACGACCCTTGTATGTCGTGAGCATAGCGAGTGGTCGAGCGTAGAACCGAGATTTGGTATATCCCAAGCATCCGTACATAGAGTTGGCAGTAAGCTTTAGAGCCATTTGCTTGATATCCCAGGTGGCCAGCTCATCCGGTGTAGCATCCTTTGCCTTCATAAGCTTCTTCACTTCGCGACGACGCGAGACAAGTGTAGCAATAAGACGCGGCAAAATACCCTGATCTTGGTTCATGGGAACTTCTGGCACCTTATCGTCATCCTCTGAGAGATCCGATCGCTCCACAGTCGTGAAGCAAATGTTAAACTCCTGGATAATACTGGGGTAAAGAGAGTTGAAGTCCATGACCAGAATGAACTTGTCGTAGAGACCTTTCTCGGGTTCGAAGACGAGACCACCTTTGAACTTGTCTTTCTTCTTTGCGTCCGCACCTTCTTCACCTTCCGCCGCTTCTTCCTCAGCTTTGACCTTGCTCTTGCCCCACTGTTTGTCCGGGCAAATGTACTTGTTCTTGTGGAACTCGTGCAGCAAAATGTACTCGTTACGCTCTGCGCGGGTTCCGCTCAGCGTTCGGGCCCATGAGTTACCTGCCAAGTTGGTGAGAACCTTGGTAAGTGGAAGCATCTGCACTTTTATCGCAATGGCAGCGATGAAGTAGGCATCAGCTTGGCAGTGCTTGATGTAGTTGAGAAGACCCTCCTTCGTTGTCGCCCAGGTCTTCAGTGCAGCTTCGTTATCAAGCTCTTCACGTCGCTTGTTGAGTCCAAGCTGAACCATCTCTTCAAGACTCCACGACTGACACTTTGGCATAAGGGATTTTCCAAGGTCATTCGCCAAATCGCACAGCAAGCGACCAGAAGCTAGTTGCTTTTCAGCAAAGAAACTGCCACCGCCCTTGCCCATACTCTTAGGCCAATCACTTCTCTTAAGTCGTCCAATGCGGTGCCATCCTGGGGTCTTCTTCTCTCGAAGACGGCTTAGCAAGACGCTGTAATCGACGTCGTCTAAGCGATGGCCGACAAGAACATCCGGGTCATGGCGCTGGAACATCGCCATCAACAGACTGAGAAGTTCTTGCTCTGTCTTCTTCATGTACATGTTGCCTTTCACTTTCTCGACTTCTTTATCGAAGCCTGTTGGGAAAGCAGTGCCATTCGGCCGCATGATAGTGAAGCTCTTGCACTGCATTTGATCGACAGGTGTAGTGTCAGTCAGAGAGAAGCTATCGTATATCATAGCACTGGCCACTAGGATCTCCTGCTTGTTGTCCTTGGCATTGAAAGTGGTTCGCAGGGAGAGACTCATG